CGTTTGGGGGGGGGGGGGGGGATCCACTGGTGGGACCTTCTCCTGATTCAAGGGCACTCAGTAACAGCTAGAAGGCTCTACATAGGCTCCCCGGCCCAGCAGTGCCACCGGGGGCTACACAGGAAGTGATGGGCACTCACGGCCACACGGTCCCCGCAGCAAGTGTGAACCGGAGATGCTCCTGAGGCCGCCCGCCAATCAGGCGCTGGGTCGGTCAGTCGGGGCACAGCCAACAGCAGAGCCTCCTGGGCCCGGGGAGGCCCGAGAAGTGAAAGGCGAGGGCAGCCTCCCCACCGGCAACTCCCATCTGTGTAATACACGTGCACACGCGTGTGCGTGATGATCCGATCACTGGAAGCATCATAACTGTTATGTTGTCAGCAGTGTTTCCCTTGGAGGTGGGGTTATGGGGAACTTCCTGTTTGATTTTTGGTTTTGTGATTTGGCTGCAATGAGCTTCCGTAACAAAGTTCCTGCTCCTCCAGACGTCCCCCCACCCCACCCACCGGGAGGCCCACAAGAGAGGCAGGAGGAGGAACCTGTGGGGTGGCAGCATCCGGGCTGAAACTCACGCCCCAAAGAGGTCACAGCCCCCGGCCCTCAGCCCTGACCCCCATTCCCTCGTTTCTGCACTGAGCCTCCCCTGGGCACCTTCCCTGTGCCAGATGACCCTCTGGACACATCAGGCACGAGCAATCCCACCAGATTACCTCTCCCCAGTCTCCGAGCACAGTCCAGGTAGGAGGGCAGTACGTGCCAAGGCCCTGGGGCAGGGGACACTTGGTGTCCCTGGACCGAGGGGGCAGCGTTGGCATGGGCTGAGCAGGGTAGGGGCTTCCACATGCCCTATCCCTCCGCCTGGGTGCTCGTCCCCAGATATCACGCGACCCAGCCCACCGCCCGCAGGTCTCTGCCCGTTTGTCACCCTGTCAGCTATCCCTTGCTGACCATCCTATCTAAGAGGGCACCTCCTGCTCTACGCACTGGCCAGCCCTCCCCGACTCATCTCTCTGCTGGTTCTCCCAGGAGCCGAGCTGGATGTCTCCTTCACTCCTGGTCGTGTCTGCTTCCCGTCACGGCAGCATCAGCTCCATCAGGGCAGGGTCTTTGTCACTATCGTTCCCTGAGCCCTGGGAACAGCGGCTGGCACATGGTACGGGCTCGTATTTTTGTGGGCTGCGTTGGTGACCAATACCACACAAGGAATCCACAGGCCTTACACAAGCTGCTCCATCTAAAAGGGCGCGGCACGAGGGCGGTTCCCTGAGAACGGGCAGGTCTCCGGTCTCTGCCACCCCGCACTAGGTGGGCGACCTGGCCTCTCTGAGCCTCAGTTTTCTCATCTACAAAACGCGATAACGAACAGGTCTCGTGGAATCAAAGGAGGTGACGCAATGGTCCCTGGTGACTTCATGCTGTGGACATGCACGCTTTCATGCTTGTTAATGAACAATCCCCAGACTCTAGGGGATCCCTCTGGGTATGGCTGCTCCCGGGGTGAAAGCCCAGGGACCCCCGCGGTGTACGCCGGGCAGGGGCAAGACGCTCTGCACCCTGGGGGTCAGACGCTTCTCTCGGGCAGCGTGCATGATGAGGCTGCACTCGTGCTCATCCATGCTGGGCTGCAGCCTCCACGCCTGCACCTGGCTGCTTTTCAACACATCCTGCTTACAGCGAGTGTCAAAGTGGGGTTGGAGGGCGGACCTGTTAGAGACAAACTTCTGTTTGCTTCTCCCCATCCCTCCCGTCCTGCCCCACTTGCCTGGGCCTCCGAGGTTCTCACTGAGGGCGGCGGCGTGCCTGCCCCATCCAAGGAAGCCCATCTATTTTACCTAATGACGTGATTACGCTCCACCTCCGCCAGCAATTTCTCCAGGAGAAGGAGCCTCTTTGTCTCTTTCAGGCACCAAGACTCTGGCCTCTGGTACCCCAACCCCTTCCCGGCTGCACGGGACATGCACAGGCTCCCCAGACCCCAGGGCCCTCTATGCACGGCTTCCCCGGGCCCCCAGGTCACCCCCCGTCACCACCACGCCAGGCAATTCCGTCCCCTCTGCCCCCGCTCCTTCCGCCACCACCAGCCAAGCACCCGCACTGGGTGAGGACCCGTGGACCCCAGCCAGCAGCTCGCCACCGTCCAGCAGGGGGACGCCCAAGCAGGTACTGAGAGGCAGAGGATGGAGAGAGGGCCTCACGTTGCCGCTCTGCCCGTGTGCTGCCCCCGCACGTCTGCCAGTTCCTCCCAGGACCCCCTTTCTCTGCTCCACCCCAGCCTGCAACAGAACCCTCCCCTGCCAGCTGCGCCCAGAGGCTGCCACACCGCCCGCCCCTGTCCCCAAAAGCATGCCCTGCATGGCTGGTCCCTGTCCAGTCCCTGTGCCAAGTGTGAATTCTCAGAAACCCCACAGCCTGACCCTGCCCTTGGGACTCCCTGTCCCTGCGAACCCAAAGATGTGAGCCGAGGGAGAGATGCGCAGGGCAGGCTGTGAACCTGCAGCCCCTAGCACCTCCTCCAGGGAGGCCCCCAGGGTTCTACTCTCCTGTGTGGGCACAGGTCTGCTGGTGGAGAGCCCCTGAATGTGAACCCAACCGTACCACTTCCTAGCTCAGTGACCTTGGCCGGTCCTCGAACACTGAGCCTGTCTCCTCTTCCCAAATTGGGGCTGAGCACGGCCACTGCCCAGGATGCTGGGAGGATTAAGAGATCTCGTGAGTGCTGCGCCCAGAGCCTGGGGCTGAACAACCAGGAAATGAGAAGCATTTGTCTCAGTGAGACGCCTCCTCCCTGGCCTTCTCCTTCCTCAATATCATCATCAACATCACAGACAAGGGACCACAATCTACCCCCGCCCCAGACAAGGAGAGGAGCAGGGAAACAGAGGGGTCACCCCCCCTCCTCCGGGCCCACCATGTCAGGCAGTGCTGACCGCGAGACCTCACCCCCAGCCTGCTCTTGACAGTTAGAAGCACACTCTTTGGGAGTCTTTCCTTTGGGTTCAGGCAAAAAGGACCCACTTTGGGAACACCGAAGTCTGTGGGGAGGTGTCCCCATGGGAGGGACAGGGATGCATCTGATTCCCCTAAGCAGAGTGTCACCCCTTCTCCCCACCTACCAGGAGGAGGCCCTGCAGCTTCCACAGCTGTTTTCAGCCCCTGGTTCCTGGCCTGGGCACTTGCCAGCTTGCCCTGGGTGGGCCCTGGAGGAATCAGTGTCCAGTGCGGGTCACATCCTCCAGACCCAAGCTCAGCGAGGAAGCTTACGGTGCTGGGCTGACCTGGCGCTCCTGGCACCCCTCCTACTGCAGGACCCTGGAAGGGGTACTCTTTGAGTCCCATCTGAGGGGGTGGTCTCCCAGGAACTCCCTCCTTCAGAAAGCAACCCCAGAGAGTTGGGCTGGAGAATCAGGAAGCAGGGCTGAGATGTCAGCAGCCGGCAGGGGGGACCACCCAGGGGCCACGCTGCCAACCTCCTGCAGAAAGGGAGGCCAGGCTCCACAGATGTGGTTACAACACCATAGCGGCCCTGGCGGCTGGAAGAGCAGAAATAAACGCTCTCTGGATGAGAAGTCCCCCAGTTCCAACTCAGTGAAGCCACAGACTCGTAATCAAACATCATCAAACAAGGAAGAAGGCAGGCAGGTCAAGAAATAGATTAGACACAACCAGAGCCTGTAAACACTGAGGGAGACACAAGGATAAAACGTCTAAAGAATGGAAGATATGGTCATCAAGAGGCAACAGGGGACTATTAAGAATGAACAGAAGATCTGAAAAAGATATGAACTTCTAGAAATGAAAAACACGATTTTATTTTATTTTATTTTTTTTGCGGTACACGGGCCTCTCACTGTTGTGGCCTCTCCCGTTGTGGAGCACAGGCTCTGGACATGCAGGCTCAGCGGACATGGCTCACGGGCCCAGCCGCTCCACGGCATGTGGGATCTTCCCGGACTGGGGCACAAACCCGTGTCCCCTGCATCAGCAGGCGGACTCTCAGCCACTGCGCCACCAGGGAAGCCCCTGAAAAACACAATTTTTGAAGTGAAAGACTTAGTTGACAAGTTAAGAAGATGTGACCCAGCTGTAAACTTAGAGTCATATCCAAGTGAACCAGCCATTATCCCACAAGACAGACGGGGACTGGAAAACACAAAAGAGATGGTAAAAGCGACAGGGACAGAAGGTGGGGTTTCTCATATATGTCCAGTTAGTGTTCCAGAATGGCAGGCAACGTGGGAAGCGAGAGGACAGGCACTATGTAAAGGGGTGACAGCTGCACTTTTCTGGGACTTATACACACAGGCATCCACTGATCCAAAAGCACATAGAGCAGAAGAAAAACAAATCCATATCTGGACATACCTTGGGAAAACCACAGAACTGTAAATACAAAAACAAGATTTTCCATTGGCTAGGGGAAAAAAGACAGATCCTGAAAAAACTAAGGCAGGAGGACGATCAGCAGACTCCTCAGCAGCAACAATGGAAGCCAGCTGGCACTGGAGGGAAATCTCACTCATACTAGAAATCTGGACCGAGCAACACCTCATGTGAAAGACAACATGGGAAAAATGGCATTAAAGACAAACAGAACCCGTCCATGTGATCACCAAGAGACCTGTCCCAAAGGGTGACATCCAGAAAGGAGGAAGAGCCCAGAAGATCTGAGATAAAGGAATGACTGGTGACCAAGGACATGACACCGCTGAGTCGTAATCAGCACGGGCTGCAAAAATCATACCATCCCAGGCGTGAGGTCCTTAAAAAAACGGAGAACTAAGGATGGGGGTGAGAACAGCATGTGAGTTGAAGGCAGTGACCTGAGCTCAAGTGCTTAGAGGCCCACGTGTCCGTCAGGAAGGGAGAGAGGGTGATGATGTCTGCCTTTAGACTCTGTGGCAAAATTTCAAGGGAAACAAATGAAAGGTTGAAATAAAGTGTATGAAAAATTGAACTAACTTTTAAAAACAATGAATTAAAGAGACACGACTAAACCCATTTAGATTAGAATCCTGGACGTCAAAGAACGTTGCTGGAATAATCAGTGACACCTGAATAGGATCTGTGATTCAAGAGCCGTATTTGATGAGCGTTAATTTGCTGGTTTGCTGGTTACGCAGGAGAGTGTCCTGGCCCTTGGTCATTACATGCTGAGGTATTAAGGAGTGGCAGGCATCGTGGCTGTTAAGTGATTCTCAGGACAAAGAAGTGCCAATGACTGGGGAGTACCGCTAAAGGAATACAGGAACTCTGGGTCCTAGCTCTGCAACTTTTACGTAACTTTGAACTCTTGTTCAAAACAAAAAGTTTAAAACTCTAGTACTAAAAAATAAAGCAGCTTTCAAAAATAAAGTATAAATCAAAAAGTAAGATGAGATAAACAAGAGCTAATATATCAACAATGGCTAAAGCTCAGCCAGGGAAAGAACGAGAGTGTCACAATGGATTTTCAAATCCAGCTCAATGCTGGAGACATTTCAAAAGCATAAAGTCACAGAAATATCGAAAATGAAAGAATAGGAAAATATATAGTGAGAGCATTAATCAAAAGAAAGCTGGAATAGACCCATTGATAGCAGACAAAATGGGTTTTAAGATGCAAAGCATCAGGACTTCCCTGTTTGCACAGTGGTTAAGAATCCGCCTGCCAATGCAGGGGACGTGGGTTCGATCCCTGGCCCAGGAAGATCTCACATGCCGCAGAGCAACTCAGCCCATGTGCCACAACTACTGAGCCTGTGTGCCACAACTACTGAAGCCCGTGTGCCTAGAGCCCATGCTCCACAACAAGAGAAGCCACCGCAGTGAGAAGCCCGCACACCGCGACAAAGAGTAGCCCCCGCTCACCGCAACTAGAGAAAGCCCGTGCGCGGCAACGACGACCCAACGCAGCCAAAAATAAATAAATAAGATAAAAAGCACCACGTGGGATAGAAAAGGTCACTTCATAATAGTAAGAGTTTCAATTTACCAAGATTATACACCCATTCTACACTCTTATGCAACCTAGAAAAAAGAGCCATAGAACATATAAAGCAAACATTTATAGAGCTACAGGGAGAAATTTCCAAATCGAGCAATGTGGTACAAGATTTCAACAGCTTTCTCTCAATTTATGATGGGTCAGGCAGACCACAAAAGCTAAAGACAGAGAAAATTTTCATTACCAAGTTAACAAGCTTGGTTTAGTGGACACTGATAGAACTTTCCATGTCTGTGTATTTAAAGAATGCACATTCTTCTCAAGCACATTCTCAAGTATGGAATATTTACAGAACTGGAAAGTTCTAAGCCATAAAGCAAGTCTTAACAAGTCTCACATTTTTATGTGAGAATCCTCTAAACAAAATGCGACTGTTAGAAGGTAACAAAAAAGAGTAAATTTTAAATCCCCATGCATTTAGAAATTTTACCATTCATTTCTAAATAACTCACAGGTCAAAGAAAAATCATAATAGACATAATATTTTAAATTAAATAATAATGGGCATATGATATATCACATATTGCAGGGGCGTAGTAAACGTGGCCCTTTAAGGGAGATTTATAGACTCGAAATGCTGATGTTAGAAAAAGAGAAAGGCTGAAATTTCATGGGCTGAGCATCCAGCTTTAGACATTAGGAGGAGGAAGAACTACCGTACAACTCAGAGACAGAAAGCGAGGAGATGACAAAAAGTAGAAAGCAATCGAAAATTGAAACTAGCACAAAATAGAACAACAAAGCCAAAGACACTAATTAAAATAACAAACCTCTGGAAAGATTGATCAAGGCAAAAAGGAACTGGACAGATAAAGTAGGAATGGAAAAGGTACAGACCTCAGATGAATGGGACACTGTGCAGTAATAAACAAGATTATTAGCACCCAGAGCCACCACATCCGAAAACCTAGACAAGTGGATAGATTCCTAAAAACAGGTGACTTACCAAAACAGAATCAAGAATAAAAAAGAACCTGGCGCTTCCCTGGTGGCGCAGTGGTTGAGAGTCCGCCTGCTGATGCAGGGGACGCAGGTTCGTGCCCCAGTCCGGGAGGATCCCACGTGCCGCGGAGCGGCTGGGCCCGTGGGCCATGGCCGCTGGGCCTGCGCATCCGGAGCCTGTGCTCCACAACGGGAGAGGCCACAGCAGTGAGAGGCCCGTGTACCGCAAAAAAAAAAA